ATGTGCTTTGCCAAGTGTCTTCCACAATGCGGGCCCTTCTCTCTTCCTCCCCAGCCTCTCTCACTGTTTTAATCACCTCCGACACTGCCACCAAGTGTTCGCAGATTTCGTCCAACTCTGGTTGGGTCTCACAATCAACATTTGTTTCCAGCATGCCCGTCGTTTGGCCAACAAACTCGGACCCATGCTTCTTCAGCAAATGCACTCCTTCGTCCTCCTCTCTCATGCGCTTGGGAAAGAACCTCCTCCATTGGCTTCCGTGGTGCAGCAGACCATTTCTTTTAACCTTCATCAGGGGTGGCGTGATCCATAACTCGCCCCCATGCGCCCTCCCCCCCTTATTGCAGCTTGGCGTCGAACGCTTCGAACAGCTCGGCTCTTTTCCGCCCCGTCGTCAAGCACTCCATGAGCTAATCCCTGTCGGCGCTTCCTGCATTCCTATCTTGGCGGGGAGTCGGGAGACGTTGTTTCGGGCCAGCGTTAAAATCTAAGCCCACTGGGAAAGTGGTCCCGGTGGCCTTTGCTTCGGCTATTATCTGTAGCCTTTTTTGCTGACCCTCGTAAGGTGGCGCAGGTCTGGGCCAAGGGAAGCGCAGCCACAGGGGCGGCCACATGGTCAATGTTCGAACTCTCCCCCTGGTGCCCACAGTATGTCGGTTCGCAGTCATGGTACGTCGTCGCAGCTGCAAGCTCGCCGTGTGCACAAACGCGTCGGAACGCCTTGCCGTTTTCATTCTCGACATCTTTCGCCACTGGCCCACTACTGTGGGACCTGTTCCTGTCCATGCCCCTGTCCGAACTACGATGTAGTCCGAGCTGGTTTTTGACATCTCCAGCTGCATCAATTTCAGACCTGCATGGGACCCTATCTGCACATCCTTCCACCCACTCTAGGATACGCTCCGGTACATGTCCGTAGTTCTTGTGATGGGTAGGCGGTAGTTAGGTCGCGAAAGTCGCCTGGTCGAGTTCTCTCGTGGTGAGTCGGGTTCACGTTGCCTTCCCTTGGTCGCAAGCTGGTAGGGTGTCTGTGGGCACCTGTAGATACGATAACATCCCAGCTTCGCAGTTCCGAGCTTATTTCCTCCAGCCGTTCTTGCGAATTTGCGGACAGAGGGTTGTATAATGCAATCCGCATCAAAACATACACGAATAATTTGCTCATCATCTGCTCATGCCCTCCTTACTCCTTCCCTGGCCATCGTGGTGGGCGGGGGCCAGTCATGTGAGGAGGAGGAGGAGGAGGAGGAGGAGGAGGAGGAGGGGGAAGGAGACGAAGGAGGAGGAGGAGGAGGTTTTACGACATGTCCTACGGTCAGCGGGGTTCGTTTAGCGTGCGTGGTCAAGGAGTGGGACCACACTCAAAACCAAATCCGCCGACCCCTTGGGGATCATCGGCGTGTGAGATGCTTCCCCCTCCCCAAACCCCTCCCCCGGGAGCCCGGTCCGGTCGATTTGGAGGGGGGGGGGGGGTCCGGGACGAGCGCTTCACGGGGCTTTGAGGGGGGGGGGGGGTCCGGGACGAGCGTTCCACGGGGCTTTTCCTGGCCCAAGAGGGCTTCAAGACGGGCCACGAAGCCCCCAAGAGGCCTCCAAGACGGCCCACGAAGGCTCCGAGAAGCCAAACGACCGCTCCAAGACGCCCACGATGGCCCCAAGACGGGCCAAGAGGTCTCCAAGACGGCCCCTGAGGTCCCAAATGAGCCTCCCAAGAGGGCCCAAAGAGTCAAAATTGCTGATTTTCCATAATGTTTTTCGGTGTTTTTTGCTTTTCCGCCTTTCCGGCTTCCCGACGCTCCAAGACGGGCAAAGAGGCCCCAAAGATAGCCCCAAGATGGCCCAAGAGGCCCCCAAGACGGCCTCCAGACGGCCCAAGACGGCCCCAAGACGGCCCAAGAGGTCCCCAAGACGGCCCAAGAGGGCCGATTTGGAGGGGGGGAGGGGGCCGGGACGAGCGCAGCACGGCCGGGACGAGCGGTTCACGGAGCTTTTCCGGGCCCAAGAGGGCCTCAAGACGGGCCAAGAAGCCCCCAAGAGGCCTCCAAGACGGCCCACGAAGGCCCCGAGACGCCAAACGACCGCTCCAAGACGCCCAAGATGGCCCCAAGACGGGCCAAGAGGTCTCCAAGACGGCCCCCGAGGTCCCAAACAAGCCTCCCAAGAGGGCCCCAAGAGTCTAAAATTGTTGATTTTCCATAGTGTTTTTCGATGTGTTTTGCTTTTCCGCCTTTTCGGCTTCCCGACGCTCCAAGACGGCCAAAGAGGCCCCAAAGACAGCCCCAAGATGGCCCAAGAGGCCCCCAAGACGGCCTCCAGACGGCCCAAGACGGCCCCAACACGGCCCAAGAGGTCCCCAAGACGGCCCAAGAGGGCTCCAAGACGGCACCACGAGGGGCCCAAGAGGGCGACCAAACATGTTGAAACTCTAGCTTTCTGCCCCCAGGAGCCCCAGGGGGCCCCAAGAGTGCCCCAAGAGGCCCCCAGAGGCCCTCACGAGGCCGCCCAGACGCCCCAAGGAACCCCCAAGAAGCACCCCAGAGGCTCCGAAACGGCCCCCGAGTGGCTCCAAAACTCGCAGTGTCGCTGTCCGCTCGGACCTCCCCGCGGAACTGCCCGAGACCCTCTGGCGGTGGCGGCGAACAGACACCAAACAAATATCACTCGCCTTTTCACCCCTTCGCAGCTTCTACTACCCCCAGATTGGCATAAACAAGGGGTCGGCGGTGTGGCGTAAGCCTAAGAATCTATAGCGTGATCCTGTAATGTGATCTTTCTCTTTAGCGTTTCGCTCAGCGTGATCTGATAATCTCGCTTGGGGGGCACGGGCTCCGGCCGGGAGTGGAACACGGATCGGGGCCCCCTGATGCGGCATCGTGCAGGGATGCGCTGCAAAGCATGTGCGAGTATGCGCGCATCCGATGGGATGCCGCACTAACGTGTGCAGGCATGTGCAGCCACTCGCTGCTCGTCAGAGCAGATCGTCACTGCGAGGCACACTGCACCTTCGCACTGGAGGCCGTGGTCGGCCCACCCCGCGAAGCGCGGTTATCTTTGAGCTGCAGTCCGTCGCGAGACTGTACACCCTGCGAAATGCTTAAGAAATCATGGGTTAAGAAATTCATAGTCTCAGAACTTGAATAAAAACCCAACGTTTCCAGTAACATCTTAAGATTTACATTGTAACGTTAAGAATAATCGAGACTCTGGCAGAAAAATTAAGTTTTCTAAAGCATCGCCTAAGGTGTACTGGCCCTGGCTCCGCTCCAGCAGGGAGGGCAGCTCGGCTCCGGGCCCCACCCGAGATCTGATATCAAGAGGGCTCGAGACGGTTTCAAGGCAGTCCAGGATGACCCCGACAGCCAGCCAGAACGGCTCAGGAGGGCGCCAAGGTGTAGCAGAAGGCTGCAACAGAGGCCCAGGACGGCCAAAGAGAACACCAGGAAGGCCCAACAAGTTCCCAGGACATCCCAGAATGGACCCGATGGCCTCCCAAAACGGCCCAGAAGGGTCCAATTAGCGCCCGAGGTAGCCCAGCCCAAGGAGGCCTTTCAAGGAGACACACCGCGACCCAGAAGATCACTCGCCAGGCGGGGGTGGGCGGGAGGGGGATAGGGGGGGCGAAGGGCAGGCGCGCGCTGCAGGAGGGGCGAGGGCCAGGCCGGCTCCAGCGGGGGGGGGGCAGGACGGCTCAGGGCTCCAAGAGGTGACGTCAAGATGGCCCCAGAGGGTTCCAAGACAGCCCAGAATGTCTTCAAGAGCAGCCCAGGACGGCCCAAGAGCGCGACCGCATTCCCCAAAGAAGGTCAACAAGGTTTCGAGGGAGGCCCAGGACGAACCAAGGAAGGAGGCCCAATAGAATAGACCCCCTGGGGTCGCGATGGGCCTCCCTGACGGCCCTCTTGGGAAATCTTGGGCGCTTTGTGGACCATGTTGGCTCATTTGGGGCAGCAACCGGGGCACTCCCGGGCTGCCTTGGCGGCCTTCTTGGAGCTCCCCTGGGCCGTCCTGGGCCTCTCTGGAAGCCCTGGGGCGCTTTCTGTGCCCCAGGACCTGGGTTCTCGTCGACTAGACGTAAGAGTGACCTTTTGCAGTAGTGACCTTTGGTGCGGGCACAGAGCGGTCTCCAGATGGCTGAAAACGAAGCAGCAGCAGCAGCTGCCTGCGCGCCCAGGTCTGGTCCCCCTGCGGCCCCCAACAAGCCGCGCACCAAAAGGTCACTCTTACCCAGGGTCACTCTTGCGTAGAGCCGATCTCGACACCGGTCTTTGAGATCTGGCGTAGCGGTACACTCTGCGAAATGCTGAAGAAATCATGGGTTAAGAAATTCATAGTCTCAGAACTTGAGTAAAAACCCCACCTTTCTGTTAAAATCTTAAGATTTACATTGAAACGTGAAGAATAATCGAGACTCTGGCCGAAAACTTAGGTTTTCTTAAGCATGGCCTAAGGTGTAGGTCTGCAACACCGTGGAAAAATCACGACAGAGCCCCGGACCCCCATGATTCTGCACCGCTGCTGGAGCCCAGCCGACCCGTGAGGGTCCCAGGCCCGAAGCCGGGCGAGAACGCACGCCAGGATCTCGGGGACTGCTGCTCCTCGGGGGCTGCCACTCCAAACCCCCCCGACGTCACAAATGCTTCACAGGGTGGACCCCCCGAGGTCTGGACCCCTTTCCAAGGAGCGGCTCGTCGCCCTGAGCCGTGCTTTGACAGCCCCGAGGCCCAGCACGGATCCCCGAAGCCCAGCAACTCGCCATCGCTCGGACGCTCATTTCCCGTGCATGTTTGGATTTCGCGTGTGCTCCATTGGCCAGACGATCCAGGATGCTCCTCGATGGTCCTCGCCGAGAAGAGGTGCACACGTCGGAGCGATGCCACGGCGAGGGCCCCCGGTAAGGCAACAGCGCAGAATCTGACGCCGTGAGTCTGCATGAGCCGAGGGGAGCTGGGACAGTCGCCCCTGACTTCGTGCCCTCCGGCAGCACGTGGCGGCAGGCGGTCCTTCAGCATCAGCATCACCAGCGAGGACGGCTTGTTCGACAGCTCGAGGTGCTTCGCGATCTGCCTTCGGCGGCGGACTGCGGCGACGCCGCCGGGGCCGGTCGCCGCCGTCGCCCTCCTGCTCCGCCGTCCTGCTCCTGCTTCTTCTCCTCTTCCTCGCGCTGCTGATGCTCCACCTCGCCGCCCTCCTCATCCTCCTCCTCCTCCTGATTATGTGTTTCCTCTTCCTCTCCCTCGTCCCTCTGCTGACAAGGGTCCCGAATGTCGCGGCTGTCACGTCGGTCCTAGGGCGTCCGCTTTCAGTCAACATCTGGGCTCGTGCACCTACTGGGTGTATAATGGGACATGACCCTCTCTCTGCTCCCTCCTGCTCCTGCCTGCCCCTCTTGCACGGGGCAGACGTCGGCTGGCGTGGGCCGTCGTGGGAATCATGCCGTGAGGCTCGTGCTTCTTCTGCTCCTGCTGCTCCTCCTCCTCCTCCTCCTCCTCCTCCTCCTCTCCTCCTCCTCCTCCTCCTCCTCCTCCTCCTCCTCCTCCTCCTCCTCCTCCCCCTGCGCCTCCCACTGGCCCTCCCCGCTCCTCCTCGTCCTCCTCCACCGCCCCCCTCCCCGTGCCTGCCCCCGCTGTTCCGTCCTCGGGCCTCCGCCTTCCCCTCCCCCTCGGGGGTCGCCCTGCTCCCCCCCTCCGAAAGCTCTCCTCCACCTCCGAGCCGTCCTCGTCGTCCTCGTCGTTCCGACTGCCACATCTTCCGCCTCCTCCCCCCTCCCGTCCTAGTGGAGGAGAAGCGTCTGAGGGCGGCACGTCCACATGCACGTAGAGTGCAAGAGATCCGGGAAAGTATCGCGGATGGGCGCTAGGCATCCCTCCCTGCCGCGCACAAGGCGCGAGGGGCATCGTCGGAAGCGTCGCCCGGGCGGGTCTGGTGCCGAAAGAACCCCGCGTGGACCTCTGACAAAATATGCTTAGGAGTCTACTTCTTAGTATACGGATCCCTTCCCCAGCCTCTCCACATCCCTCCCCCTTCCGTCCCCCCCCCGTTCTTCCTCGGCCCATCCCCCTGCTCCTCCCACTCCGCCTCCTCCCTCCCCCTCCTCCGCGCCCTCCTCCTCCTCCTGCCCCTCCCCCCTCCGCCGCGTGATGCCCCTCTCCCCCCCCCCCCCCGCCGAAGGGGCACGAAGAGGGCCCAGGCGACCCCGCACGGGAGAGGCTCCGAAAGGGGGGGCCCTCCGCCTTGCCCGCCGATCTCACCGTCGTCGGTCGTTGTCGCCGTCGTCGCCGTCGCCGCGGCCACCACAGTCGTCGTCGTCCTCGGCCTCCCTGTACAGTCAACCCGTGTAGTAAGGATGCGCGATGAGGATGCAAGGGCCCTGGAAGGCTATGTCGGCACTCTGCGAGCGGGGCGTTGCCAGCGGAAGCGGCCAAGGATGGGCCGAAAGGGGAAGGACGCAGGGGAACCCGTGGAAAAATCGCTCATCCTTACAGTTGGGGTCGACTGCGCTCCCACTGTTTCTGAACGGCCTCCTACTGGACTCCAACATCTCCAGCTCGCTCCTTCCTGGCGCACGCCTCCTGCTCCCGTCCGTGCTCCCTCTGTGGTGTATGCTGTTGATCGCGCCGCTGCCTTGTCTCATCATTATGATTCCTCCTGCCTGGTACTCCTTCTCAACTTCCTCGATAATTCCTCCCTTCTGTCCACCTCTTCCGTGCTCCACATCTTGCGTTGGCTCACCCTTCAGGTTCTCCTCTCTTTAGATCCTCCCACATTCCAGGTGTGTCACCTCCTCCTCCCTCATCTCCGCCCCTCTTTCCGCCTCGCCCATGTCCACGCCTCGCAATGGAGCAGATGATGTCATCGGGTGGGGATGAGAGGAGGGGAGGGGGAAGAGAGGGGAGATGTGGGCGAGGCCGAGGGGGACGAGGACGAGAACTGAGACGAGGACGGAGGAATCAGGGGGGTAGCAAGATGCGGGCAGATGGGGCGGAGGAACATCGGTGTGGGTTCAGGGGGTGAAAGGAGATCAGAATGAATGATTGATCTCAAGGAGCCTGGAATCTAGAACGCGAAGCCGAGTCGTTTCGCCCCGGACAGATCCAGGGCATTGAGGAAACCGAGAAGCAGCCGAAGGAGCAGCATGAGAACCACCCTCTGTATCCACCTCGAGCCAAACGTGCACCCAATTCCAACGCGTTGCCTCCGACATCCTGGTTTCTGCATGACGCGGGCCCAGAAGCCCTCAAGACTTGAAATAACATGCTGTCGAGTCGTTTGTCCAGGCCCCAAAGATCTTCGTGAATTGCATATCCACGTGCAAAAAAACTACAATCAGGACGCATGGTGTACGGATAGCTGCAGCAGCAACAGGACAACTGCTTTACATAATACAAGGTCAAGGATGGGCCGAAGAGGCAAAGATTTGATAGAAGACCACGTAACTACTGGAGTGTCCGGATGCCCCCCCGCCCAAACCACACGTTAAAACACTTCAAACAACAACGCTCGATTCCCCGCCCGAGCTCGGCTCGGAACCACCACTGGGTACATGCCGGGATGCATCCTGGTCGCCATTACAACCGCGTCCATGCAGGCCGCCAATGAGTGGGTCGGGGTCATGGGGCCGGAAGAGCGTGCCGAATCGGTCGGCGATGGACCGGCGACGCCGAATCCACCCCGGCGTCGCCGATGCATCGCCGATAAAAGCGCGATCCTCCGACCGCATCCGCTCCGAGCCAAATTTGAAAGGCGTGGAATACAGCCATGGCAACGAGAACCCCGAAGACCGCCCAGGAACCTCGCCTTTGTCGCCGTCGCCGCCGTCGTTCGTCGTCACCGCCGACGTCATCGTCGCCGCCGCCGTCGTCGTCGTCGCCGCCGCCGCCGTCCTCGTCGTCGTCGCGCCGTCCGCGCCTCAGGTCCTTGCTGCGGTTGTCGCGCTTCGACAAGACCTCGGCCAGCTTGGCCGCCGCCTGCCGCAGACCAAGGCCAGGCTAGCGGCGATGCTGTTGATCGGTGATGCTTGGAAGCCAAATTGAAGGAACTCGCAAACCACACGTTCCAACATCTCCAATCTGCGAATGGATCGAGCAAACACGACACAGCTGTAGGAAAGCGCGAGCCACGCGTTCCCACACTACCGAAACCTACATCGCCGTTGGCTCTGAGGGGCCGAGGAGGAGGATGAGGATGAGAATAATGATGAGGAGGAGGAGCCGAAGAGCCGAGGAGGATCCTCCTCCTCCGCCTCCTCTTCCTCCTCCTCCTCCTCCTTCTTCTGCTCCTCCGCTCGCCCCTGCCTTCGCCAAAGACTCGGCCGGAGCTTCTCTCTCGATCACTCTTTTCGATGGATCGGGACCCGAGGTGCGCCTGCCTTTTGGAGTCCTCCCAGCTGGGTGACAGCACAAGCGAAGCACAGTCACAACGACATGCAGTAATAGAAAAAGAAACGACGGCATAAAGATACACTTTTGGCGCTCCGCGTGGAGTCTTGGACCTGCGCTGGACCCCCTCCCTGGCGCGCGGAGCGCGCCAGGGGCGGCGCCGGAGACGCCGCTGGAGAGGCCTAGCGCGGATCCAAGAAATCCGCGCGCACCGTCGAAAGTTTGTGTGGTATGCCGCTTTGTCTTACTCGAGGAAAGAGCACAATCACCCTTCGCCGAAGGCCGAAGGTCGAGTGACTGCCACCACCCTCGACCTCAGAGCCCGCAAATGAGACGGCGGGGATGAGAAAGCAACTCACCGCAAAAGCCCGAGGACACCCGCAGGACGCAGCCTACTGACATGCGATGAAATAGGAAGCCCTGGGCCGCCAAGCGAGGGGGGGGAGGACGAAGAGGAGCGAAGCCCCAGGCAAGAAGAACTCACTCAGCAATGGCGGCGGGTCACCGACGCAGGGCTCGGGTGCCCACGGCAGCCCCGAGCAGCTCGAGCAAGGCCGAGGCCGCAGAGCGCAGGGCACTACCCGAATGCACGGATGCGCCTCCCTGGCCTGCCGAGCAGAAGCAACACACCAGCTGGATGTAGGTGTAAACAATAGATATTTGAATCATCATGCGAATTGGCGTAAATCAAGCTTCCGTGGTGCGTCGATAGCACGGGACCTCAAGAATGATTCACGTTGTTCATGAAACTCTGGACCTTCGCGAGCGCCAAAACGATGATCTTTGAGCTCGTGCGCCTCTCGAACCGGAAGCCGTCCAGCGAGCGGCAGAAATCATGGACGCCCTGCTGTGGGCATTGCCAACGAACGCATACCCGTAATTCAACGTATTGCCCGTCTGTTTTGGCAAATTGAGGAAGGTATACCGGCCCGCGAACCCGGCCTGGGCAATGGCATCGAGAACCTCTATCTGGTCAGAAGAAGACAAAAAGCCATAAACACGATTCAACTTGTGGCACTCCGCGCGGATGTCTTGGATCCGCGCTGGACACCCTTCCCCGGCGCGCGGAGCGCGCCAAGGGCGGCGCCGGATGCGCCGCCGTGGGGCCCAACGCAGATCCAAGAAACCCGCCGTCTGCGGAGGGCGAGCGAACAAAAACCAACAAACAAAAGAAAGAGAGAGGGAGAGGGAGAAAGAAGAAGGGGGACGACGGATCGGCCGATCGATCCTCCTCTGCATCCTTCCTCTCCTCGGCCACAGCGTCCGAAGACCTCCAGCCTCGAATCCGAGACGTCCCCGATAATAAAAAAAAAAAATGTAAAAACAAGAAAAAATATAACAAGAAAAATAAAACCAAATACCATCCTTCCCCTCCCCCGCCTCCTCCCCTCCCCACCGCCCCGCCTCCTCCCCGCCCCGCCTCGCCTCCCCCCCACCCCTCCACGCCCCACGGCCTCCCCCCCCCGCTTCCCCGCCCCGCCACCCCCCCCGACGCACCTCGAAGATCTGCCCCTCCCACGCCTCCCTTTTCCTGACGCTCGGCCGACCTCAGCTACAGGCTGTGCCGCTATCCCCCGCCTCCTCCTCCTCGGCCCCCTCCTGTTACCAGCCTGGAACATATCCCTATCCCTATGCTGGGCATCTCCTCATCACGATGCCAATCTTAGGGATTCCCTTATCTTTTAATGGCGAGTCCCTAAGATCGTCATCGCCTTTTGGCGTGTCAATTTTAGGGATAGGGCTAAGTTCGAGGCTGGTATATCCTGGGCCCCCTCCTCGACCCCGCCTGGGCGTCGAGCGAGAACTTCTTCGCCAGGTCCTGCTGATACCCGCCGCGCGGCGCCGAGGCGCGGCCGCGGGCCGCCGCAGGAGCCCCCCCCCCCGCGCACTTCGGGAGCGGAGAGGCCGGGAGCACGGACGAGGAGGAGGAGGAGGAGGAAGAGGAGGAGGAGGAGGCCGTTGAGCAGGGAGGAAGAGGAGGAGGAGGAGGAGGAGGAGGAGGAGGAGGAGGAGGAGAAGGAGGAGTACGGAGAAGGAGGAGAGGAGGAGGGAGGAGGGTGAAGGAGGAGAAGGAGGAGGGGGAGGTGGAGTGAGAAGGAGCACGGACGGAGCTCGGAGAGAGCGCGGACCAACGACACACACACACACACACACCCATGCCCACAGGGGGATCGCAGGAGGCCCTGGGTGCGTGCTGTCGGAGGGGGGCCCCCGCTCGAACGGGAGGCGCTCCCCGGGCTCCCCTCCTCCTCCTCCTCCTCCTCTCCTCCTCCTCCCACCTCCTCCTCCTCCTCCACCTCAGTCCTCCTCCTCCACCTCCCCTCCTCCTCCTCCCCCACCCCTCCTCCTCCTCCCGACCTCCATCCTACCTCCACCCTCCTCCTCCTCCTCCTCCTCCTCCTCTCTCCCTCCTCCTCCTATTGGCTCGATGTATTTTGCAGCAGCTCCGGGGACGGAGAGCGGGTCGTTGGCAGACGTAGCCAGTCCTCCTCCCAACGACGCCCCTATGGGTATGGGTGCGTGCTGTCCGCTCGTCAGAGAGAGCGCGGGCGGGGGCGAGCGGCGGACTGATCTCTTCCCCCCGCGAGCCGGCCGAAGATGAAGGGGCCCCAGGACACACAAATAAATACACACAAATAAAAAGATTGCCAATATTTTCCTATATTTTTTGGGTTTTTGTCTTTCGCCCCACTTCCCATATTTTTGCATATTTTCCCTGGAGTCGACGATTAATTGTGTCTGTGTGTTTCTTTCCCTCCTGAGAAGAGCCGGCGAGGCCAGAAAACGACCACACATCTGCCTGTAGCCGAAAATCGGCCTTGGATCGCGGGTCGCCCCTGTGCAGACGTAGAAATGCAAAGGCAGGCATACGTGGGGCTGGCGGAGGCTGAGCCTGAGCGAGCGGCACTTCGTCGAGCAACGGACATAGCCGTACCCGCGCCCTCGCGGCCCGGACTCTGCGCGCCATCGCGCGGGTGCGTGGTGGTACGGATGCGCTCCGCGCGGGGCGTCCGCGAAAAACCGCCCCGCATCCGCGGGGGGTCGCGGATACGGATGTTTTCCGCACGCGGATCGCGGAGCGAATAGGGCAGGAGCGGGAACGAAGAAGAGGAAGTGAAG